TAGAGACAAATATATATATATATATATATATATATATATATATATATATATATATATATATATATATATATATATATATATATATATATATATATATATATATATATATATATATATACCAGTATCACTCCGTGTTGCACTTTTGTTGTTTACTAACACCTAATTGTTTGTGAATAACAGATAATTAGGTAATAATTTCTAAAAAATGATATATTTTGTCAGTATCAGACATCGAAAATATATTATCTGCATGAACAAAGGGAAATAATTATATATTGCTCAAATTAAATTCAGAGCAGTAGTTATCGCGCTTTGTTTACTAGTATTTTAATTAAATATCTATTATAAATATTATAAACAATGAATATTGAAGAGTCACATTTGGCCAAATTAGCACGCGAACGATTAGAAGCAATTAAAAAATATTTACCCGTCCATGATATAGTTAAAAATAAACCTCAATTGCGTCAGGAATCAAAAGTTGAGTTTGAGGAAGATACATATCAATTATATAAACCTATAACTGAGACCACTAAAGGTATTAAACCTGTGTTAGAAAAAGCTGAAGTAGCTATCGGGAAAACAGCAGAAAAAAAGCAGAAAGAACCAAGAAAAAATTCTTAGAGAACTTCCTGACGAAATAACTGCAACACAAACAATACAAGAAGTAATACATGATGGAAATGACCCTTATGATGGAAATTACCCTTTGTTTGAATTGACACTTATGATGGATGTGACCCTTTAGATGGAAATGATTCTTATGATGGAAATGACCCTTATGATGGAAATGACCCTTATGATGGAAATTACCCTTATGTTGGAAATGACCCATATGATGGAAAGAACTTTATATTGGAAATCGCCCTAATGTTGGAAATGAGCCTCATGATGAAAATGACCATTTGTTTGACTTGACCCTTTGTTTGAATTGACCATTATGATGGATGTGACACTAATGTTGGAAATGACCCATATGTTGGAAATAACGCTTAAGATGGAAATGACCCTTATGTTGGAAATGACCCTTATGATGGAAATGACCCATATGATGGAAATTACCCTTATGTTGGAAGTGACCCTCATGATGGAAATGACCCTTGTGATGGAACTGACCCTAATTATGGAAATGACACTTTGTTTGAATTGATCCCTATGATGGATGTCAACCTAATGATGGAAATGACCCTTATTTTGGAAATGAGTCTTATGTTGGAAATGACCCTTATCATGGAAGTGACTCATATGATGGAAATGACCATTATGATGAAAATGACCCTTTTATGTATTCAAAACTATACCGGCGAAGTTCCAAGTACATTTGAGAAAACAGTGACATTGTGTGTTGTTTAATTTATCAAGATGTATTCTCTACCACAAAAATATAAGTATAACAAGGATAAATACACGAATGAGCCCAACATTATTTACATGGATTAGCAATTATTTTTTAATATATTTAGGTGACATTTTCACGCGAAACACGTGCAAATCTACCTATCTATTCACTCATCTACATTTCTAGCTATTAAATGAAGCATATAAGAGGACGCAAACATTGTTCTGGCGTAATGCGGGATACAACATAATAACAAAATTAGGTGTCGAAAGGAAAAGTCTCTAGTAAATGTAACAAAAGTGTGCCCAAATTAGTCCCAACCAAGCAAAAAAAATAAATAAATAAACGAAGATCAAAATAAACATCAAGCAGCAAAGAAAAATGCACAGGCCTTTTTAAATAGTCTACTAGCTGAAAAGATAAAAATTCACTTTATTTGCTTTGATGTATAGATTCCATTTTTGTGAAGTCTGTTATTATGTGCTGTTTATGTAACAATTATTCTTTCAAAAATATATATTGTTTTAATTATGTTTTTGAAAGTTACAGACTTTCAAAATAAAGAAATACTTTTTAATGAAAATTGTATATATTTGCCGCTGATTTTATTAATTACGCTAACACTTTCGGGGAAATTCACACTTGTTGATAAGATTAGAGGACCAATAAAAGATAACGCAACTAACCAATAATTAGATAAGATAAAACGGAACTGTCATGATCTAATACTATCTCTTAACCTTTATAAATAAAATATACAATAATGTTTGATCTTGAACGTTATTATATACTTTAAATACAGCACAATAATTACACACTTAAACTATGGTACATTAATTACACACTAAAATTCTGTTCACTTAATCTCAATCTAAAACATAGCAAATATTATGGGAGGCAAATATTTTGGGTGTTTTCATCTCTTTATGAATTATTTGTTATTGGAATACGTTTTAAATAAGTAGTTTTGGAATAGTTTAAATGTGGCTACTCATTTAATTTCCAGTAATGTTAAGAACAACTATAATATGTATAAAACTATTATGTTTAGTGTCTACTTTTCTCTTCAAAAACGTAATACATAATTCTACAAAAGTATCAATGACCATCTATTTGAATCGTAGAAATTTATTTGAATAAGTCATTTTTTCCAAATCCGTTTTTGCTCTTGTGTTTCGGCGACATGATGTTGTCCCTCTGACTAATGAAGACGACTGCCAGCAACATCACAAAATATCACGTAAACATGCATTTTTCATATGGAAACATGTTTGCACATTTTGAATTTTTCGCACAAGACAAAACGAAACAAAATACAAGTCCTTAAGCAATGTCAAAAAATTAATGAAAAATGCCGTTTCTTCTTTTATTGCATGCTCGTTCAATCATATATGATTTATCCTGGCTGCATCTAAGCGAACGTGCATAAATTACAAACATTCATAATGCATGGCAAAAAAATCTATTTTCAAATGAATAAAATAGAGTCGAGTAAAGAAAAAAAAGCGTTTGACCTGGCATTACATATATGCTATATTGATCTCGTTTTATATATATATATATATATATATATATATATATATATATATATATATATATATATATATATATATATATATATATAAATACAAATCATATGGCGAATAACAACCCTTTCAAGCGTACTGGATCCACCAAGGGATCACGTGTGTCAGGGATTAATTAAAATAAATGCAATAAACTGACGACGAACAGTACGAAACTAGTAACTAACTAGTAACTAACTAGCCAAAGCGCTTTCGACTCTTATTGAGTCTTTTTCAAAGGCAAATACAAAACATATATACGACAAACAAATAAACAGAAAACGTTGTATAATTCCCTAAAAGTCTACAAGCCAAAGCGACATCTATTTTTATTTTTTGTACATATGTAACGCAGATTATATCCCGGATATTTGATTCTATAGAGGTTATTCCTATAGTAAAAATTGAAGGATAATAAGAAGATTTAGAAAATGTTTAATTCTGCTAGTGCATAGTTTTCATTTTCTAGTCTTCTTGGTTTAAACCGCTTGGTTACAATGTTCTAAGGCGGCGTATCCAGTATGATTCCTTTTCCTTCCTAGTTTCGGAACTCCAGCTGTGGTTGTTAGCAATAGCGATAACTATTATATCATTGAAAATATGGCCAGGGGAGGAGAAGTGTTCTGCGACCGGGCTTCTGTACAGCTTTTTTGTCATCCAATCAGATCTATGAAGGTTTATCCTTTTGGATAGCTTTTCAGTTTCTCCGACGTACTGAAGGCCACAGATCTTATATGTGATGAGATAAATCACATTCTCTGTTTTGCACGTTTTGTTTGGACCATGTATGTTTAGTTTTTCTTTAGTCACTGTGCAAATGAATGTCTTGGTCTCTATCATATGTTGACAGGTTTTGCATCTTTTATCGCCACAGGGTCCAGATTGACTAGGTTGGTTTTGACTAGCGATTGGCGTTCGCTTTGCCCTGACTAGGATGTCCTTTAGGTTTTTTGGTCTCCGGTAAGCTACTACAGGTTTGTTCGGAAGTATTAGGTTTAGTATGTCTGACGATTGCACGGTTGGCCAGTGGTCTGCGATGATTTTACCTACTTTGGGATTGTCTGGGTGATAGGTCAGAATAAATGGTATCCTATCAACCTTTTCTTTCTGTCCATATCTGAGTAGGTCATCACGGTTTGTTTGTTTGGCCCTTTGGATTGCCTCCGCAATCAGGTCTTTGTCGTAGCCTCGGTAAATTAAATGTTTAGCCAGCTCTTCAGACCTTTCTAGGAATCTTTCATCGTCGGAGCAAATTCTGCGTATCCTCAGTGCCTGGCTATATGGAATGTTCTTAATGCAGTGTTTTGGATGACACCTGGTTGGGAGGAGATACTGATGTTTGTCGGTTGGTTTCGAGTAGATGTCTGTGTGTAATTTGTTTTCCACCAGTCTGATTGTTGTGTCCAGGAAAACATGGTTTGTATTGGAAATTTCTGCCGTGAATTTTATTGAAGGATGGAAGTTGTTTGCATTTGATATGAAGTCTTCCAGACTTTCTTTTCCATACTGCCACTTCATTTCTATATCATCGATAAAGCGTACCCACTGGTATGGTGTACGCTCAACCGATGCTAAGAGCTGACCCTCAAGTTTTCCCCTGAAAATGTTAGCATACGAAGGGGCCATTTTAGTACCCATTGCAGTTCAATTGATTTGTAGGTAGTTTTCTTCATTAAATTCAAAGTTGTTGAGTTTTAGGACAAGCTCCAGGAGTTGGACTAAGAAGTGTGTAGGTGGATTGTTTACAGTTCTTGTTTCCCATGATCGCTACATGCCTGTAACCCTTCGTTGTGCGGTATGTTGGTGTACAAAGATGTGAAAAATGATCAGAATGAATTCATTCACTAGAATTGTATTCGATTTTATGGATTGCTCAAACAGTAATATCTTGCAGATTAAAGAATAAGGACTCGAACATTTTCTCATTCATTCACTGTTCAAGTACAGAAAATAAAACATTTGCTTGAGTACAACTATGGACAATATAAATAATTAATAATTGCATTCGCATAGTTTATTTACGTTTGCGAAATATTTTTTGAATATTCAAAGGGTACAAAGTAAAAGGATTCCAAATGATTTGCACAACTTCTCTTGACCGCTCCGATGGCCTAGTGGGTAGAGTGTCCACATTGGATATGGGAAATCCCAGGTTCGAACCCTGGCAGAGTCATACCAAAGACATAAAAATGGTATTTAAAACTGCCTCTCTTGGCGCTCATCATTATGAGGTTTTTGTTAGGACTGATCGGTCTGGTGTCAGGATAATGTAAATGGGGGGATATGATCCTCCATGTCTGATACATTAAACCCCAGCGCTAGACATCAATATAAACTGCCACACTGCAGGTATCGAAGCGGTTTGACAGAAAAATTGTTAAAGCTATGTTAACAATCCAGAAAACATCATGCATGCATACACACATACATACATACATACATACATACATACATACATACATACATACATACATACATACATACATACATACATACATACATACATACATACATACATACATACATACATACATACATACATACATACATACATACATACATGCATGCATGCATGCATGCATGCATACAGACACAAAGATAGACAGACAGACAGGCAGACAGACAAACACAGACAGACACACAGACACACTCACACACACTAACACCCTTCCGGCTAGTTATTGAATCCACATGTTAACTAAAATTATTCACGTTAGAGGTAAACAACAACATATCAAACAATAAATGAAAGATAGCTAAGCAAATATATGGTTTATCAACAAATCATGATAAATGGTAAGATGGACCAACGTTCTTTGAAATAACATTCCCAGTAAAACTTTTCTTGCCATCGGCTTCCCGGCGACGTCTTTCTACCGAACATATCATGTGCGATGCTATTTTGTTTAGAAAATGTTTCCGTGGATTAAAGAAGATCCTTAATCTTCCTGCGCCGGATGAATATTATTAATTCATAACATACAAGAACAATGCAACAAAGACGAAATTGCTTCACCACACCTTATTTACAATCCCTCTATCCTCTCATCGTCAGTTTTCATTGCCCATTCTGATATATATATATATATATATATATATATATATATATATATATATATATATATATATATATATATATATATATATATTTATAAATCTCTGCGCATTTCAACCACATTTTTCGTGTGATATACTACACAGTGTATATTCACTGTCAAGAAACGTAGTGTTAAGCGACATTTGGTACACAAGAACGTATCGCAAGAACACGGGATATGTATCTTCTCTTAGACCAATGGACAAGGAAGAAATGTGTTACTCAATTATTAGAATCAACACTAAGATAAATGTAACTTTTTAAAATGTAACCTTTTAATTATATGAAAGCGATGACAATAGTCTTCAAGAAAATAAGGAACGTTACAAATGAAGGCCTAACAACTTTGTAAAATTTCATATGCGTGCTGTATTACTATCAACAAGACTGCCAAGAGTTTTACCATTGCCCTGACTGAAAAAGATCATATATATATATATATATATATATATATATATATATATATATATATATATATATATATATATATATATATATATATATATATATATATATATATATATATATATATATATATATATATATATATATATAGTTTAATACAAACATTACTATCATGCAGGTTAGAGAAATTTAATTCGTACTCTATGGAGTTTCAAACACAGGTCCGTGAGTAAATGGCACCCATTGCCTTGTCTGCACGCACCAACCCATATACAGTCACGACTAAGCACGCATCACCCAAAAAAATGATGGCACTGAATCATTGTTATATAAGTTCGTGCGTAGCAGACACACTCGCATGAATACCTAGTAATTAATTCTCATATATATATATATATATATATATATATATATATATATATATATATATATATATATATATATATATATATATATATATATATATATATATATATATATATATATATATATATATATATATATATATAAATATATATATATATATATATATATATATATATATATAAATAAAAATATATATATATATATATATATATATATATATATATATATATATATATATATATATATATATATATATATATATATATATATATATATATATATATATATATATAGTCATTCCAGATTCCTATGAAAGGAATCACGGTATAGAGGATTTTTGTGTTACAAAGAATTATAAATATATACCAGACAGAACAGACAGTGATATCCCTGGATTCTGTAGTAGAATCTTGATAATAGTGGGCAGAAATGATAGTTTAATACAAACAATACTATCATGCAGGTTAGAGAAATTAAATTCGTACTATACGGTTCTGATCGGATATCAGGCCAACTGTAAAATCAATGCTACGCAAGTGCAATCTCAAATGTGCGTGATTCCCTATTGGTAACAGATGTAGAAAACGTCACACTGAATTCTGGTTTCTTTAAAGAGATTGTTATCATTGAGTTGCATTTACAACAACACGTTGCCTTGCGGCAGAGATTTCCTGCAAAATAGTCTCAGAGCTCATCGATGGTGTTGTATTATACATCACTGACATTTTCTGCGAGCTCATGCATTAACTAGTGCTATATTTTTCTGTCCATATCATTGGTAAGTAACTAATGACAAACTGATGTGTCATTATTAATGACTTCAGACACACACACACACACACACACACACACACACACTCACACACACTTCTTATATATATATATATATATATATATATATATATATATATATAGTTTAAGTAAGCCATGTGTAAGTTGTTTGTGACTTTATCGAAACATTCAAGTTTGAGAATGTCACTGACTCATTATGCCTTCCAAAACATCTAATAGAAATAAATAATTTGATAGACCACAATTTTCATATTACCAAAGTAGAACGTCTTCACAAGCACTGCTCGTTCAACGGGAATTTGCATTAAGGTTAGGGTCTGATCACTGTGGTATTTTAAACTTTAACAAGTCTGACCTAATTCTCGCAATATGCCTTCTTTTTCTTGCCGAGCATGAATCTTCGGATTTAATTAGAAATCGGAACTACTTTCGTTCATATGACACTATGATACAACTGATGAAGACAAAATCACAATCAGAATGCCGTCGGTTTTTTCTGTTGTAACATGCGATACACTCCGCTGGAGGAGAGTCACGAAGCCCATAAAATTTGTGTATAATCCTGCAACTACATCCGCTGTTATTTCTCGATTTGACAGAAAAGGTCAAGATATTTTTCGATTGATCATTCCAGAAGTTGATTTATGTACATGTGAATTTGTAGATACTAAAAGTTGCAAATGCAACATCGTTTTATTCGATTTCATTGCCTATTCAACAAAAAAAATGAATATTATTGGAAATTGAGAACTATTTTAACATTAGATATGCCTTTCGTTTTCATAAAAGACTTTCATCTTTTCAATGCTCGAAACACGATTTAATGATTAAAAAAGAAACACTAAATTTAAAAAAGATCAAAGAGTTCTCAAAATAATTCACAAAAGTGATCAAATGCTTTGTGTGGCAGCCTATCGTACATTTTCTGAATATATTTACCTGACTGAAGGTGCTTTAGAGAACACAGGAATGGAAAACAACCAGTTGATTCCTTTAGAAAAGTAGTCAGCAGAAAAATCACAAAAAAATAGTGAATTCTGCCAGCTGCTGGCTTTTACTTAACACATGATAGATGACATTAACGTATCCGTGTTTACCCATCTATGTATCTTACCTACTAATATATGTATTATATAAATATGTATCCCATCATCCATTCCACCTGTGGACAAGTTTCAATGTGCCTTACATGCTTTTACCCATAATCCTTTCAACTGTGGGTAAAACAAAGCCTGGTTGTCTTCTCATAACACTCAGCAAGACGTTAGTCATTAAAATGCCGTCTAAGTCACCCACTATGATTTAAAACTGGATAAAATTGAACATAGAGGAATCAGTCATATATTGTGTTCCTCCAGCTCAAAAAAAAAATATCTGCACGCCTAAAATATAAGGGAGTGCGACTCCCTTAAAGGAAAAATTTTTTTTTTTTTCCCTTTTTTAAAAAAAATTTTTTTTTCCCAAAAATAAATTTTTTTTTTTTAAAAAAAAATTTTTTTTTTTTAAAAAAACCCCTTTTTAAAGAAATTTTCCCCGGGAAACCCAAAAAAAGGGGGGTTTTTTTTTTTTAAAATTTTCCCAAAAAAAAAAAAATTTTTTTTTAAAAAATTTTTTTTTTTAAAAAAAAAAATTTTAAAAATTTTTTTCCCCCAAAAAAAAAACAAAATTTGAAATTTTTTTTAAAAAAAATTTTAATTTTTTTTTTAAAAAAAAAAAAAATTTTAAAAAAATTTAAAATTTTTCCCTTTTTTCCCTTTTTTTTAAAAAAAATTTTTTTTTTTAATTTTTTTTAAAAGGGGGGGAAAAAAAAATTTTTTTTGGGTTTAAAAAAAAAAAAAAAGGTTTTTTTGGGGGGGTTTTTTTTTTTTTTTAAAATTTTGGGGGCTTTTAAAAAAAAAAACCCAACCCCCCCCCAAAAAAAAAACCAAAAAAAAAAAAAAAAAATTAAAAAAAATTTAAAAAATTTAAAAAAAAAAAGGTTTTCCCCCCTATTTTTTTAAAAAAATTTTTTTTTTCCCTTTTTTCCCCAAAAAAAGGGTTTTTTTTTTTTCCCAAAAAAACAAAAGGGGAAAAAAAATTTTTCCCCCCCAAAAAATTTTTTAAAACCTTTTCCCCCAAAAAAAATAAATTTTTTTAAAAAATTTTTTTTTTTTTCCCCAAAAAAAACCCCAGGTTTTTAAGGGGTTTTCCCCTTTTTAAAAAAACCCCCCCCAAAAAAAAAATTTTTTAAAAAAGGGTTTCCCCCCAAAAAAAAACCCCCCCCCATTTTTGGGAAAAAAAAATTTAAAAAATTTTTTTTTTTCCCCCTTAAAAGGAAAAAAAAAAAAAGGGGGCCCCCTTAAAAAAAACCCTTTCCCCTTTTAAAAAAAAAAAACCTTAAAAAAAAGGGTTTGGGGGTTCCTTTTAAAAAAATTTTGCTTTTTTTTTCCCAAAAAAAAAAAAATTTTTAAAAATTAATTTTTTAAAAAAAAATTTTTTAAAACCCTTTTTTGGGAAAAAAAATTTTCCCTTTT